AATGGTTGATATGAAAGCTAAGCGGGCGGCGGCGGGGGGGGGGGGGGGCGGGGGGGGGGGCGGGGCGGGGGGGGGGGGGGGGGGGGGGGGGGGGGGGAGGGGGGGGCGGGGGGGGGAGGGGGCGGGGGGGGGGGCCGGGGGGGGGGGGGGGGGGGGGGGGGGGGGGGGGGGGGGGGGGGGGGGGGAGCGGGGGGGGGGGGGGGGGGGGGGGGGGGTGGGCGGGGGGGGGGGGGGGGGGGGGGTCGGGGGGGGGGGGGGGGGGGGGGGGGGCGGGTGGGGGGGCGGGGGGGGGGGGGGCGGGGGGGGGGGGGCGGGGGGGGGGGGGGGGGGGGGGGTGGGGGGGTGGGGGGGGGGGGGGGGGGGCGGGGGGGGGGGGGGGGGGGGGCGGGGGGGGGGGCGGGGGGGGGGGGTGGGGGGGGCGGGGGGGGGGGGGGGGGGGCGGGGGGGGGGGGGGGGGGCGGGGGGCGGGGGGGGGGGGGGGGGGGGGCGGTGGGGGGGAGGGGGAGGGGGGGGGGGGGGGGGGGGGGGGGGGGCGGGGCGGGGAGGGGGGGGCGGGGGGCGGGGGGGCGGGGGGGGGGGGGGGGGGGCGGGGCGGGGGGGGGGGGCGGGGGGGGGGGGCGGGGGGGGGGCGGGGGGGCGGGGGGGGGGGGGGGGGCGGGGGGGGGGGGGGGGCGGGGGGGGGGCGGGGGGGGGCGGGGGGGGGGGGGGGGGGCGGGGGGGGGGCGGGGGGGGGGGGCGGGGGGGGGGGGCGGGGGGGGGGCGGGGGGGGGGGGGGGGGGGCGGGGGGGGCGGGGGGGGGGGGGGGGGGGGGGGGGGGCGGGGGGGGGGGGGCGGGGGGGGGGGGGGGGGGGCGGGGGGGGGCGGGGGGGGGGCGGGCGGGGGGGCGGGGGGGGGGGGGGGGGCGGGGGGGGGGGGGCGGGGGGGGGGCGGGCGGGGGGCGGGGGGGGCGGGGGGGGGGGGGGGGGGGGGGGGGGGGGCGGGGGGGGGGGGGGGGGGCGGGGGGGGGGGGGGGGCGGGGGGGGGGGCGTGGGGGGGCGGCGGGGGGGGGGGGGGGGAGGGGGGGGGGGGGGGGGGGGGGGGGGGCGGGGGGGGGGCGTGGGGGGGGGGGGGGGGAGGGGAGGAAGGGGGCGGGGTGGGGCCGGGCGGGGGCGCGGGGGGGGGGGGGGAGGGCGGGGGGGCGGGGTGCGGCGGGGGGGGGGGGGGTGTGGTGGGCGGGTGGGGGGGGGGGGCGGGGAGCGGCGTGGGCAAAAGAGAGACAATGAAAGTCCCAGCACAAACACCATATAGGGCGGCACCTTGTCATGCTGACCGGTGTACTCAACCAAATCTTTTAGTTATTCTTCGGACCCAGCCCAGCAATCGAAGGTTATCCAACGATGCCAAGTGTTATTCAAGGATCTTTAAACCTATTGACCAAGCCACAGCTTAGTCTTATCCCTCTTATTTTAAGTGGTAAGTCTCTATAAACTACGGGTGAAATCTTGTCGTATGTGTCCTGAAGAGATGATTCAAAGGAGACTACAGGTGTTGCATCCATCCTACGGGAAAACGGCTACTCTGACAAGTTTATTGTCACGTATGGATAGAAAGCCGTGCTGCAGAAGACTTCGGTAGAGATTGTAAAGAAGAACGTATTCCTCGTGCTGTCTTAAAACAGGAAACAAAACGCTAGACTTTGACGCCATCGCTAACACTACAGCACGAAGTTTTGTTAAGATGTAGTAAGTGTTGCTCCTGAGAACCAGAAGTAGGCCATGTGAATCCAATTTAAATAGGCTAAATTCGCATGTCATTTCCTCTTGCGCTTACCATTTTAACTTTAACTGCGATGGCATCTACGTCGGCCTGACAGAGATGAGGTAGTTTACTCGAATTTTGAAACAGATTCGACGAAACCTAATTCTCAGCGACACAAACTGCATTCTACCGATGTTGCCAGGCATCTGCTGGACAACTCGATGTGCAAAAATCGCCGCAAGATATCCAAGGTCAGCTACAAACAGAGCAATCCCATGTTGATGTCATTTGCTAAGGCAACTGAGTTCTGGCATTTAAAACCCAACCAAAGCGAACAGCTTGATCTTGTGGCCAAACTGCATTTGCCTTGGTAGAGCGCGAAAGATTTGATGGCACAACTTGCCATCGATTACTGTTATTGATGTTTTCACCCATGTAATCGGCTTATACGTATACCCCGAATAAGCTGAATTCAGATTCGTGCAATGAAATATTGCTTTTATTGTCGCTCTTAAAATGTCAGAAGGAAGTTAAATTTGTTTGGTAGCAAATACCACATCGTTATTAATGAGCATGATAAAGTGGAATACGATGCAGTTTAGTCTACATACACCCTATTATTTTTGGGTGCTTTTCTCATAATGAAATATGTTTAAAAAGCTTTGATCATTGTTTATCGAGCCATCTAAAAGTTACCGATAACTAGGAAACAGGTATGTTATATTGGTAACGTACAGCATTTCTTGTGTATTCCATGCCAAACGCAACCACAGGCGTCACTCATTAGCGTGACCCAAAAGCATTCAATCTTTTACATTTGCAATCTGCTGTATTTGGATGCAGAATAAGTGCATTTCAGCAGGAGCACAAGTAAAACCAACTTAAAACGGTGCGGAGGGGCATACAGTCTATTTTTTGGTGTGGCCAGTTGCGATGATAAAAATAAATTATATTCAAGCAATGAATGTTCATATTTCTTCCATGTGGAATATAATACTCAGCTTACTTAAACCACTATGGTTCAGAACCAAAGTACCGCCTGCACCATGTATGTGCAGAGGTGTTGGATTCGCTCGTGAACCCCATGAAACTACCAAAGCAGTGTCGCATTCACTTCATTCTATGTGCATCCGCGGAAGTCCAATCAGTTGACAGCATCTGCGATGTTGAAATCAGCGGACATTGCAAATTTATCGATGATAGTCAGGGTAAACCGATTTTACTCAAACTGACACTTCACACCCATATCCCTTGGTATCATGCTACAGGCAAGTGCGTCCGTGCAAGCTGCCTGCATGAGGTTTTGATTGCTGCAGACACGTAACTGCTACCGACTTTAGCGAAATATTTAGGCTGAACTAAGGGATGCAATAGCCAAATAATTGTACCACTCTTTATGTGATGATTCAACAGATGCTGCTCTTCAAAGGTTGTAAGTAGATTCGGTGCGTGGCATGCGCTAATCTTATCGTCTGCCGAGACTTGGACGTGGAGTTGTGCCATCTCCAAGCTAAGAATCTCTGCTTGAAATGTTACGCTATTTCAAACTACCCTAGTGCAATATTCTCGCACGTATTGCGTCATTTCGTGAATCAATTGTTTTAATACTCTCAGTTCGGCCATAACAAGCCCGTTACACTCAGGCAGTCCAACGAGGAAATAAGTTGGATTATTATGAGTCGACAAACCGAATGTCATTACCTTTATGCAAGGCGAGTTTACATCAAGGGCACTTTCTCTCTACAGGCACAAAACAGTGGACGTAAACGACCAGAGCTTTAGGACGGTAGACCGCCACAAACTGGCTTTATGGAATGTCAAGTACCCATCCTCGAACAAATAGTTTACCGCTTCTTGCATAACAGTGTGGACATTACCCAGAAACTGCTTGTAGCCCATGGTCATCCATCAACATATGTCGGCGACGTCGTGGCATTTTCTTGGGAACTTCACAGTCATGGTCCTCTTGGATCGATCTATTTAAGAGGTACCATGCAGTGTTTACATGCTGGACAATCGTGCCTAAGGGGAAATCCAAGGCCTTCAAGCCGTTGTGAAATCAAACTATTCATCATCCCAGGGCAAAACACGTGTGTGTACTCAAAATGGAAGCAGATTTTCATATTACCGCGCAGTGTCTCAAAGGGAGAGTTGCCAAATTGATGTGCATCTTATCGGCGCGAACTGAAATCGGCAATTATCTTCTAAATGAAAACAATATCTAATGTATAGCTCACGTGTCTATCTATCTTAAGGGTTCCCAACCTGGGAGTAATTACCCTCAAAGCTATAAAGTGGCATTTTGCAGGGGGTAAATATTAGTACGAGGATTGGGTCATCAATCGGTTGCTAAACAAGTTTAATAATAAAATCATCCGTATCAAAACATGTCGCTAACTACCTATGCACTTTGGATTAGCCATCAGTGACCAGTCATTAGTCACTGCAAGCAGATGACGTCTCTATCGGCTCCCGTGGCTATCGTCAGGCAGTCGTTCGCCGGGTCGAATTATGGAGTTGAGCCTTGGTCAGACGACCAGGCAAGGTGACACGCGATTGTTTCTAGGTCAAAAGGGTCAAAACGGGCGATTAGTATTCACCAGGTATTGATACAGATTGGTCGTGCCAAGTTATCATGTAGGAATGACTTGGAATGGAGGAATGCAAGTGAGAAGGCACTGATATCTGTCCATGTTTGATAACGAATCACACAGGAAAGGGTCATATGATGCCTTGAATGGAGATAACAGTAGGCGTTTGAAAGTGCAAAGAACACCGTGTTTCGGGTTACCAAAATGGCAGAATCAGCGGATTGGACGCCAGTGACCATTAGGTGTTGGATTGATCACATTCGTCTACAGTTGTATTTGACAAGAAACCATAGCAGGCGAGTGATTTAATTCAATGGTTTTGATATCGACAATAATGAGTTTATCTGCAAATGTTTAGGATAATGTCACCTACATTAAATCACGAAAATAATAATATCTATATATATAATTTAGTCGCCTAATTTTTGCAGGAACCATGTCCTCTGGAAAAAGCGATCCCACAAGGAAGCTTTTCTGCAATGGGGCTTCACCAATTTTGTCGAGAAATATGTTGAGAAGCCGCAATGTGTTTTGTGCAGCAAAGTGCTCACGAGGGAGAGCATGAAACCCAGCAAATTGGAAGACCACTTCGAATGAAGTCATTCTCAGTTTGTAGGAAAAGATATTACATTCTTCAAACGGAAAGAAGCTGCGCTCAGAAGTTCGCGCCTGAATACATCGGGCTCCATTTTTCAGTCAACAGAAAGTGGTCTTGAATCGTCGTAACGCATCGCTCTCCGAGTCGCCAAAAACAAGAAAGGGAATGCTAGAGGAGAGCACCTCATAAAACCTTAAATAATGGATGTTATGGAGCGCGTTCTTGGAGAGCAACATGCAGAAAAGATAAGCAGGATATCACGTTCTAACAACACAATCAAAAGTACTATTGAGGATATGAGCAAGAATATCTTGAATAAGGTGCTTAAAGAAATAAATTCAAGTCCTTTCTTCGCAATACAGTTAGATGGGTCAACCGACTTTGCAGCTTGTTCCCAGATACTGGTCTATGTTCGGTAAATAAAAGGAGACCGCTTCAGAAAAGAGTACATGTTCTTAGAATCACTGAGCACAACTACACGTGGCAAAATGTCTTCCGAACAGTGAAGTATTGTGTCGAGGAATCCATTGCAATGAGGCTGGACCTTACCATGGTGCGATGGTTTGTGTGCCTCAGTGATCTATTGAGCTATACTGGGTGGTGCTTTTGCACCTTCAGAGCCACTCATACCATATTGGTCAATGGTTAGAGGCCAGACAAACTCAGCCTCCTGGTCCTCCAGGTTGGGGGTTGGAATGAGGGTGGCTCCTTATTCCTTAAAACGGACTCCTTGTAGTCCAATACCAAGCCCGCTGCCTTGCGGCCAGGTTTTTGAACCAAAGGCTTTGGTTGAGAACCCTAATCGTTCTCCTGTCTAGGCCTGGGCAACCTGACAGTATCCTGCCCACGCAATACAATGAGTCTTTCCCCAAACAAATTTCTGATGCTCTGGCCACCGCAGAGGATAATCAACGGTGCCCTATCTGCAGCAGTGAGAAGGGTGGATAGGGGTTTGGATGCTACTGCTCAGGCCTTCCCAACTTCTTATTCCTTTTCTCGCGCTTTTTCACCCTTATCGTCCCGTTCCAGCTTCAATTTTATCCCCCCTGTTTTCAACCCCCCAATGCTCTGCCCTCCCCCACCATGCTTCAATAGTCGTTTGTCTCTTAGTTTCAACTCACAGGTGAACGCGGAGCGTCATTTCTGCACTATCAACAGGCCCGTGTCCAAGCAAGCGGCCCATTCCAGTTCATCGACTTCCATTTGGAGCTCTCGATCCTCCTTCAGACTGGCATGCATAAATGTTCGCACATTGCTTCAGATCGGTCAACAGGCAGCACTTGCCCGAATATTAGAGACCCTCTCGATCGATATCTGCTGCTTATCGGAGACCCGCCTGCAAGACTCGAGCTCTGTACTCACTCTGCGATCCCCTTCAGGTGACACTCGCAGCACTTTCTCCTTGCGCCTATCCGGTGACGATGTAGCTTCGAGCACCGGCCAAGCCGGTGTTGGTATTGCCCTGAGTCCCCGGGCTGAAACTGCTCTGTTTGATTGGATTCAAATTATTAGCCGGATGTGTGCGGTCCGATTGGCTGGCTCTTTCAAATCTTCGAAGTCGCGCGGGACTAACAGGTGTCTATTCGTTATCGCTGCCTATGCACCGACAAACTGTATCGATGACTCGGTAAAAGACGACCTCTATCGCCAACTGAACGAACTCCTTCGTCACTGAAGAAGCTCGGACACTGTTGTGCTGGCTAAGGATCTGAAAGCTCAAGTTGGAAAATTATCCGCAGATGAGCTGCATCTGGGTGGCCAGCATGGTATAGGCTCCCGTAATGATAACGGTGAGCGGTTACTTCATTTGTGTGAGGATGCTCGCTTATTTCCTGCGAGCACTAATTTCCGACATAGCACCCACCGGAGGGTGACTTGGCGCCCACCAGCCTCGAACCAGCGTTGGACGCAAATCGATCACATTGCGATAAATTACCGCTGGAGAGGCTGCGTCCAGAACTGTCGCTCGATTTGGAGCACATGTGTGGACACCGATCATGCACTTGTATGTGCTGACCTGCGGATGCGCTTCGGCGGACGCCCGCGACGACGTTGTGAGCGCATTGACACCGGCAGACTGGTGAAGCCAGCTGTTCTGAACGCCTATCAAATTACGCTGTCATCCGAGTTGGATAAACACTCACTGGATGCAATTGAAGCTCACTGGTCTCATATGCAAAAGGCCTTACTAGCAGCAGGCAAATCCTCATGTGGTATGTCTAATCGTCAACATGAACATTGGGTCTCTTCACAGTCTTTGGAACTTATAGATGCTCGCCGGCATATTCCGGCTGAAAGCGAACACAATGAAACTCGCAAAGAGCTCCGGGCAAAGCTCCGTGCTAGCCTGAAGAGAGACCGCGAATCCTGATGGTCTCGTCGTGCAACAGAGATGGAAATGGCCGCTGCCCTTGGTAACCATCGTGAGTTATTCCGTCTTATACGGGAAACGGGCAGCAGAGGACCTGGTGTTAGTGAAAATATACGTGACTAGAGTGGACAGCCTAGCCACAATTTATTAAAACGCCTGGAACTTTGGGCTGAGCATTTTGAAAGGCAATTTAATCGGTGGGAATTGTTAGATTTCTCGCCGACCAGTGATCGCCCTGCTCCGTGGGCTGTTCCTTTGGATCCACCCTCTCGCTCAGAAGTCAAACATGAGATCAAACTGTTGAAGTTACATAAAGCCGCGGGACCTGATAACCTTCCTCCAGCCCTCTTCAAATTCGGGGGACCTGCTCTTGTGGATGATTTACACGAGATACTAGTGAGACTGTGGGAGCAGGAAACTGTCCCAACCGATTGGAGCCGCTCCATCATAGTCCGATTTTTCAAAAGAGGCTCAGGATCGGAATGCAGCAGCCATAGAGGAATCAGTCTGATCTCCATCGCTTCCAAATAGCTTGCCTGTGTCATCCTTCACAGACTGACTGGCACTCGTGAAAGCCAGATTGGTGAAGAGCAAGCTGGATTTCGTCGAGGTCGTAGCTGCATTGACCAAATCTTCATCGTGCGTCAGTTGTTGGAGCACCGTCACATATATTGGCGGCCCATCGTTGTCCTGTTCCTCGATATCAATGGTGCATGCGATTCGGTGGATAGGCATGCACTTTGGGACTGTCTACTCAGGAAAGGTGTACCTGAGACATATGTGAATATTATCCGAGCATTATATGCTTGTAGCTCGGGCAGAGTGAGGGCTTACAGCATGTTGTCGTCGCACTTTAATATCTCCAGCGGCGTGAAACAAGAATGCCCGCTGTCACCTTTCCTCTTCAACTTCGCTGTTGAGGAAGTCATAGAAATCGCGTTCACAGGACACGATTTGGAAGGTGTGGAGCTACTCCCAGGAGAACGACTTCTTGATTTAGACTATGCTGATGATATTGCCCTTATCTGTGACAGCTCACAAATATGCCATGCGGCACTGGACAGATTAGCGCTAGCTGTCTGTCACTTCGGGCTTTGCTTCGCACCCTCAAATTGCAAAGCGTTTCTACAAGATTTTTCTGGACCGCCTCCTACGCTGACCCTTATTGGGGATCAGCTAGAAGTCGGTTTAAAATGCAACTACCTGGGAAGTTGTATCAGCG